TAAGAATGAGATGGAACAGAGTTCTTAAACAACCAACTATCAAAACCCAAAAGAAAGAAATCAGAGGGTAAATAATGGGAAACTTCCCACACCAATCTTGAGTAATAGACATCACGTAGGAGATGGATAGGAATCTCGGTGCATCACAATCCTCTTATTAGCTCAACTAAAGCAGTTCTTTTTGGTTTTGGGTCGCAATTACACGTTTTTCCTTAAAAAACCGTCTACGGATTTCTGATTCCGACCGACGGGTGTTTGAGGTAAATCGAGAGGGGAATTAAAAATATTTCATCTAATAAAATTAAATCCAACAATCAATCCCTTTTCTCAGTTTTCCATCACTATAATCTTGTACAGAGCTCCAGAGCCGAAGAAGTCATCATCTTTGTAGAGGGTGATCCTGTGACCGACTCTAATGCGTTTCCCTTTTCTGAACTCCTCCCAACCATCAGTGAAATATATCATTCCGTTCTGATTTCTGCACGTAAACGTCCACTGAGAACCCTTCTCATCTATAACCGGCAACTTTCCTGACTGGCCGTCGTTGCTGCAAGCAAATGGAAGATCTCCTATGTTGGCATTACTAGGAAACCGCATTCTATTTTCAGTGTCATTTTTCTCAATCCTCTTATCCTCAAAGATGGTTACCATTGTGTTTGTATTGGATACAGTGCTTTGATATAGCAAGAGATTGTGAGGGTTGGAGAACTGGAATGATGAGTCTGGTAGTTGAATTCCATATTTAAAAAAAAAAAAATCGATGAGCCTTGGTTTTTTTTTTTTTTTTTTTTTTTTTTCCTTTGAACTAGGGGAATTAGGGGAAGGGGAGGGGGAATGGGGAACAAGAGATTTGAACCTACATGTGGAACGCCAGGTTCATGAATGTTTTATCATCCTTTTTCACCAACTACTCCTTGAACTGTCATTTCCACTAAAAAATGAGTAGTAATCAAGTCAATAATCAATCAAGCCAAAAATTCAAAGATATATCTAGTAGTAACTCTACAGATTGTGTTCACATTTATTTTCTTTTCTACTAGCATAATTTTAAGCAACCATCTTGTATATATAGGGATTGTACGTAGTCTAATGTGGTCATTCAATTCTGCTGGTTCAATTCCTTTCCTGTACTGCTCTTTTCAAAAACACACCAAATCATGATAGAGTAATTCAGTCACCGGATATAAATTAACAGTGATTTTTTTAATTATAGACTTAATCCCCTTTCAACCCTCTTAGTTATAGATTTCAAAATTATTACCTTCAATTAAAATTTTAAGAGTTTTAATTCTTCCACAATATAATTTGGCGAATTTCTTCTTATTTAATAAACTTAAAATACACACCATTAATTAAACATTATTTTTATCTTAATTAATGACATATTAGTATCTTTGTTCTGCATGACATATCCTGTGACAAGACCTTAAAATTTTGTTTTGATTTTTTCTCTTTTTTGAAAAAAAAAATTGGCGTAATAGAGTGGATTCATGTTATTTGAAGGAGAATTTTTCTCCTTTCTCATTCCATATAAGTTAAGACAAAAAATTATAATTAATACACATTTAAGGGTTCATATTAAGAAAAAACTTTTTTAATTTATATTTTGTTTAGAAGTAGTGGATTGGGATGTAACTTTGGGTTTTTTTTAAAAAAATAAAATATATATACAAATTAATTAAAATTAATTTTTTATAATAAGTTTATATTTTTAAATACGATATTATGAACTTGGCAAAAAAAAGTACAATATTGTGAGAACAGTAATTGCAGACTGCATTGTGCTAGAACAATACTGCATTGTGCTAGAACAATACAAATGTATTTGATTTTTTTTTTTTTTTTTGAACCGAGGAAACTTGGGGGTGGAGGGAGTAAGCGCCTAGATTTAAACCTAAGACTTTGAGATCCTAAACAACGCTGCTCTTAGGGGAGTGAGTGCTTGGGTTTGAACTCAAGATTTGTTGTCCTAAACACTGCCGCTCTTAAGGAATAGTCACTGGGCCAATCAGTGATGGATTATTTGAATTTGGTTTTACAAATACTAATAAGATCTATTCATCTTCTTCAGAAAGCTTTGGTTTTTTGTCTATTTTGTATTTGACACTTTAACGTGAAGAATAAAAGGACCTTATTTGCCAATATGAATGGAATATGATATTATATCCTTCGCTACATTTTGAGGCAGGGACTTAACTGAAAGGATATAAAAGTTGGAAGTTGTATGACCAACTCTTGAATATATATATATATATATATATATATTTTAACATCAAATTATGAATTATATAAGAAATGACGACTCTCTCTCTTTCAAACCCCTTCTCACTCATCACCAAATTCAAACCTAAAATCTTTTTATCTTAATCAATGACATATTACCATCTTTATTCTACATATATGTCTTGTAACAAGACCTTAAAAATTTTTTTCCTTTTTTTTTTAATAAAAGAATTAGCGTAATAGAGTGAATCCATGTTATATTGAGGGAGAATTTTCTCCTTTCTTATTCCATATAAATTAAGACAAAAAAAATAATTAATAGACATTTAAGGGTTCATTTAAAAAAAAAAACTTTTTTAATTTATATTTTGTTTCGAAGTAGTGGGTTGGAATGTAATTTTGGGTTTTTTGTTTTTTAATAAAAATTAATAAAAATTAATTATTTATAATAAATTTATATTTTTAAATACAATATTATGAACTTGGCCAAAAAAAAGTACAATAGTGTGTGAGAAAAGTAATTGCAGACTGCATTGTGCTAGAAAAATACAAATGTATTTGATTTTTTTTTTTTGAGCTAGGAAAACTTAGGAGTGGGAGAGTGAGTGCTTGCGTTTTTTTTTTTTTTTTAACAATTTTATGAGGGGTTGAATTTGAACTATTACTTGAAAAGAGAAGATACACTTAAATGTGACTTGACGCCACTAAGACTTTAGCCAATACTTGGGTTTAAACAACTTCCAAAGGGAAATACTAATTAATAAGATCTATTTATCTTCTTCAGAAAGCTTTGGTTTTTTTTTTTGTCTATTTTGTATTTGACACTTGAACGTGGAGATTAAAAGGGCCTTAGTTGTCAATGTGAATGGAATATAATATTATATCTTTCGCTACATTTTGACTTTTGAGGCAGGGACTTAACTGAAAGGATATAAAAGTTGAAAGTTGTGTGACCAACTTCTAACTTCTAAGTGGTTTTTTTTTTTTTTAACATTAAATGTGAGTAATACAATAAATAATAACTATTAAAATTTCTAACATAAATAGTTAAATTCTTAACTATTAAAATGGTCCCTATAAGACTTTTATTGCAATTGAAACTTTAAATACAAATTTGAATCTTAGTAATACTATTTCGGTTCAAACAATTTATGTAGTTTGTAGTCTATAGCTTATAGAATGTAGATTTCTGTGAAATTTGTCGGCTCATAACATTAAAAAAAGAAAAAAGAAAAATGGAAAGGCAAGTGCTACTACAAACATATGTAGATTCCTTCATCATTTGAGACTTGTTATCTTTTCTTTTATGATTTGTATAACAAAAAGGTGTTTTTCAAGTTGAATTGTACTTCTTAAACTATAGTTTGGATTAAAAATTATTTAAATATTTTTAATAAAAACTTATATGATTATTTATTAATAATATTTTAATAATTTTAATATTTAAATTACACAATAAAAATACAGTTTAACTTAAAAAAATATGAAACTCTTCATACAAATTAGTCCGAAACATATTGTTCATTCATCATTCCTTTTATTTGTGCCATCTTGGCACACGTTGTCTGTAATTGAGGGGGTTTACAAATTACATAAATTTGTTCATTGGGCAGAGGAAGACAGATCGTTTAGTCATCATATTATTCTTTGGAAAAACTGTTTTACAATCCGTCTTGTAGCGGATTGTAAGATCAGAACCATCAAAGGAGATGAACCTTTGATATTGGACCCACCTCCCCCTCCTTTTTGATGGCCCTGATCTTACAATCCGCCACAGGGTGGACTGTAGGACAGCAACCTCTTATTCTTTTTGCGGAGAAATCTCTCAACCGATTTTGCTTTCACCTCTGATTTGTACCATCAATTGACCTATTTTCCAAAAATGAATGTAAGCCGTTGGGCCTCCAAAAAATCATTTGGTACTAAAAAGCCCTGTAAGTGTAAACCCATACACTTTCTAACAAAGTAACAATGGGTTGGATTGGATCTAACCGTAGGCCCATTTTTCATGAATAATCGACCCAACCCAACTCA